GAATTATAATAAAATAAGAGAAAATACTATCTTTATAGATAGTAACCGAAATAAAATGAAGCAACAACAAATATTTAGTTTTGTGCAATTATTTTGTATTGATGCTTGAATAATAAAATTAACTTTGTTTATAAAGGTCGCCGTGAAAATGATGCCAAAGTTTAGTCATTCTTAAAAATAATGTATTTAACTGTAAAAAGACAATTATACACAAACAGCAATGATATCGTAAAGATGCAGATTACAAATAACTGTCCGTATTCATGAAGGATCTTTACTAACAAGACATTTCTAACTATTCGGAAAGTGACAGTTAACTCCTCTTTCTCCCTTCTTTGCTCTTAGCTTGCTGGAAGGAAGTGTCATGTCTCATCCAAAACCACACACACATATACAGTATATGGTACACACAAACAAACAAACATTCACACACACACACACACACACACACACACACACACACACACACACACACACACACACACACACACACATCACCAGTGTTCCATAAGCAGACGTCTGAATGGTAGCTATAAGGTGTGTGTGTGTGTGTGTGTGTGTGTGTGTGTGTGTGTGTGTGTGTGTGTGTGTGTGTGTGTGTGTGTGTGGCTGCTGCCGTCAAGCTCCTGGCGTTGACACAGTAAACTGATACTAAAGGGTCTGAGAGGGGAAATGTCTCCCCGCCAGCCACACACACACACACACACACACACACACACACACACACACACACACACACGCACACACACACACACACGCACACACGCACACACACACACACACACACACACACGTATATACACTCACACACACACTCTAGAGGGAGAGGAGAGCACTGGAGGAGCGGCACTCACACGGAGATTGAGTTACAGCTGAATTAGATCTGAGCTGTGGGAACCAGCACCTTCCCCTAGACACACACACACACACACACACACACACACACACACACACACACACACACACACACACACACACACACACACACACACACACACACACACACACACACACACACACACACACACACGCTGTCACTTCTTGACACCATAGACACGCTGGGACACACGCTGAGATGATGCAGTATGTGTATACATTCTCACACACACACACCCCTTATAAACAAACAAACGGTCATGAACAGATGCAGGAAAAGCCTCAGAAAACACACACACACACACACACACACACACACACACACACACACACACACACACACACACACACACACACACACACACACGAATATGACATCAAAGAAATAATCCCACAAATAAATAGCAAGTATGAACACGACATGATAGAGTGTGTTTGTGTGTGTGGCTGGATTAACAGACATAATCATAAACACTGATACTGTAAACAGAACACACACACTCACACACATTTGTGTCACCCATTGACAACAGAGCGAGGGAAGCCCGAGGCGGCAAGTTAATATCTGGTGCAAACACTGCGATGTGTGTGTGTGTGTGTGTGTCTGTGTGTGTGTGTGTGTGTGTGTGTGTGTGTGTGTGTGTGTGTGTGTGTGTGTGTATTGATCGTGTTGGCCTTGACTTGGGGATGGTGGCCCTAAATAAAGCGAGACTGAAAAGAAAGACGACAGAAGAGAGGCCACCACACCGAAAGCCAGTAAACTCTCCACATCTTAATTGCCCTTCCGTTTTCACATGGTAATGCCTTTTCCTTATATGTGCGAGTGTGTGTGTGTATGTGTGTGTGAGTGTGTTTATTTGTGTGCCCCTGCCAGGTTCACACAGCGAAGCCCGCCAGTGTGCCATAAACACACACTCTGTGCCCCTCGCTCCATTGTACACACAGCCGGATGGAGGGATGGATGGAGCGTTTCCACCCCCACATACACCCGTTTTGTTTCATCAACCGACGTTTCCCATCACCCCCTCCTGATCTGCCACTGCTTCGTGGAGTGTTCTGGCATTTTAGACCTCTCTGAGTCAATCTTTTCTCTTGATTCATATGCAGCAATTCTTATGAACTTACAAACAGTCTGAGTGATGTTATGTTTTAACAAACTGAGAGGAATGAAAGCAAAGCTTGGACAGTCCTTGTACTTTTTCTGGGTCAGTGTCAAGCTATGAAATGCTTTTCCTTTTTTTTTGTATTCACACTAAGCATACAGTATAATACTGGGATGTTCTCAACAGTACTTTTTTCCTGCACCCTGCCAGAACACCATTAGAGAAATCTTTATCTTTTATTTATATACTTGAAACATTCTTTTTTAGATACACTGCTCCATTATTTCACTTTGCGTTTTATTATGTTCAACAAGTGATTCTGTATTCGAAGTATGTATGTAACAAGAAACACCATTTTAAAAAGAAGAAATGCACTCGTTTTATAATTCTAGTTTTCTGATTAACAGAAGACATTATGCAACTGTAAAGTAACCTTTACACTACAGCATGTGTCAAATCAATGTAGTTCCCCTTCAAAGGTGGAACACCGATGAAAGATTACTCAGAAACCATCCATCGCTGTGTCACATCAAAGTCAGCTGTCAAGAGCAGTATTAAGCCGCCCCGCCGAGAACACTTTGAGTTTGGGATCTAGATTTGTCTGAACACCAGAGCAGGTCACAGAGGAGATCATCGTGATCAGAGAATAATCTTCTCCATTAATGTTTCCTCTCCCTTTGACCTCTAACCTCTCAGGGCCTTGATATGATGTGAAGGTAAAAATCTCACACACACCCACCCAATGGGGCGCAATTAGGTTCCCCTGTCGACAACTGCAGCTGTGACCACATGATTACCTGTTTTTCCATCATAGGTTCTATAATGTCTCACACGCACTCACGCACGCACACACACACACACACACACACACACACACACACACGGGCGCACACACACATAAATAACCCCCCCTGAACTTCCCCTTGCCACAACCAACACACACACCTACGCTGTGCCGCCATCCGTTTAGCCCCGTCCCCGTGGGCGAGAGCTCCAGGAGCACCAGGGGAGTGAAAGGGGAGTGCAAACAAACTCTCCCCAGGTCCGGGGCTCCGGTTTCAGCCTTCCGTCCGCCGTGGCTGGGGGGCCATGGGAACACGAAGCGCCAGGGGCCCTGTGTCAATAAGGAGCAGTGGTTCAACACAATGGGGGCCTGCCTGCAGACAACACCGCTGACAGACACCCACACAAAAGGGCCTGTGAATGGGAAGGAGGCTCATGCACACGCACACGCACACGCACACACAGACACACACAAGAAAGAATAGAGCAGTGTGTGGTTGCCCACAAGGCCAGTGTTTGATGACTGCTTCTGTGTGTGTACACACACTCCAACACACATGCCCACGCAGACATAAACACTGTGATAATGCCTGAAGTCTGTACAAGGTTTAAACTTACAGCACTGTGTGAACCACAGAGAAACAGTGTGACAAACACACATCAGTAGATTTGACTTTAAATGCATTCTTGGCATTTGTTCTATGGAATTTGTTGCATTCAGTCGTTCCGATAAAATAAGATGGATTGTCACAGAAAAGTGTACCATCAGATACTGATATCGCACTGTGTTTGCTCCTGACTTATTCTGCTCTGCGTGCATGCTTTGAAACAGGAATACCTTATCTGATTTCATGCCATAAATGTGTTTACACGACTACTGGCACAAAGGTTTTAGTGTGTGCCTCTAATGTCAGAACAAAATGGGATGACAAAAATAAAACATTAAAACAAGTTGTATAGCCTTGTGATTTGTGTTATATGTGGCTGTCTCTCCTCTAGCTTATTGTACTCTGCACCAACCAAAAGTATTTGTATTTGTTGTCTAAGCAAGGATTAAATTACTGCTTGTTATTGAGGATTAACACGTTTAAACAAATCACTTTTTGTATTACTAGCATTTAGAAAACATTGCTACAAAATATGTCCAGAGGAATAATTTAAACCCTGCAACCCCAGTGTTAGCAGACCTGTACTTCTTCATTGCATGGATCAGTTGTTCCATCAGTGTTCTCAGTGAATAACTGGGACAGTGCAGGAGCTTTGTGGACTGTGAAGGAAGGATGCAAAGAGAAGTGCTGCCACCTGGTGTCGGCCCAGACAGAAAGTAAAACTGTGTTTTATTCCCGAGTCGGAACAGCAGGTGGCAGCAAATGAAATCCAGAAATGAACTGAGATCACATTCCTTGTAAGGAGGAAGGAGAAAACTCGGAATTAATGTTAATCAGTAAGTGATGTATTTTTAGATGCATGTAACTTTGCAGCGGTCAGTAAATCTCTGAAAACGTCTCGTCAGCAGACTCCCTCTTACTGTGTGCCGTGTGTCACCCTGTTGTTATCCTTTAACCACAGGTGTGTCAGTGTGCAAACTCTTAGTTTACAGTGAAGGACACACTTACCATTAACTTCCTTAAAAGGGGGGTTTCTAAATCTGGCAGAGCTAGTGTTACAGCTGCCAATATTCATGACTGTTGTGTACGTGTAGTATTTAACAGTGCAATATCTTTCTGACCAAACTATATCACTGAAACGTTTTGTTGAAAGGTTATGACATTTAGGTCAATTATGAGCATGAGAGAATTGATGCAAAACCACCATGATACATATCTGCTTATAACCTAATACAAATAATCTGAAAAAAAGTGTAGTCCATGTTGATCACCAAGATTATCACAATGCAAAATGTGGTAAACTGGAGATATTTTTTGTATGCAGAGAGAATTGAGTTTCACTTTGTGCCTGAGCAAATGAGAAAAACTAAGTATAATCTCCTGAGCATGGTCAGATACTTCACAAGGCTGTTATAACAATAACATAATAGTGTTGGATGACATGAAATACAGGCATGTTTTAGGCTGCCTGGTTCCACCTTGTACTAGTTCGGTGAGTTGTGGACTTAATATAATAAAGGTAATGTAACAAAGTGGTAGAAAGTGTGGCTGCTCTGGGTCTTAAATGGAGAAAGAAGTTTGTTTAGACCCATCATCAAAACAGCAAGGTCAAATAATTGCACACAAAGGGTTAAAGCAATATCAAAGTTTTATTCTTAAAATGTAGTATAGAGAGGAACAGTAGTACAATTCAGACAGAAAAAAGGAGAATGTAGTTCCATCTTTGATAAAAACGTAAAAAGAGTAACCTGAATTTGCCGTGTTCGGAGGGCACTGAGGCGCGGCCCGAGTTTTGCATCACTGTTAAAGTTCGAGAGAAATTGAAAAATACAACCTTTAGCAACAGCGTAAAAAAATACAGCTGGGGAAAAAAAACCTCTGCTTAACATCTTTAGTGTTTTTGCTTTTGTTTTCAATGTTTGTTTTTTTGTCCATATAACAAATACAGCATAAAATCTAAAATGATACATCGTTTTGAGTTTCATTCGTTACAGTAAAATCAGTAGAATGGTAAATAGTATCAAAAGAACGAACAAGACAACAGGTTGGTGTGATGAGCAAGCACACGGCGTGAACAGAGAGCGAGCGGCGGAGAAAGGTTCACGGAAATAAAACCGCCACGCAGGGAGGTTCGGAGCTGACCATGTGTTCCATTAAGTAAATCCACTAGTTAAATAATATATTCTTCATATATATATATATTTATCTCATATAATCTCCACATATAGATATATATATATATCCAATATAACTCCTCCCACAGTGATTTGAAGGTAAAAGTGACACGAAGAGGATGAATATCTCTAGGACTTAAAATATATCTTCTTGCACTGAGTAAAGGGAAGTTACACATCTTCTGTATCATTAGCACTTCAGTACATGTTGTAAAATCCACTGCATATGAACAGATAACTGCTGATCCAAGGTTTTAACCCGCAAACAATCCGTGTTTCTTTAGAAAATATGTGCTTAATGAAACAACAAAAGAAGGAAAGGAAACATCTGTGGAAAACAAAATATGCATCTAGGGTAAAGTGAATGATTCTGTAGCATAAAAACATTGAAAAATCTCAACAATTACAGACACGAGCAAGCATTTTCTACACTAAGCAAGTTTTCACCTGGCTTCTCTCATACATTATAGTTCAACAATAATTAAAAACAATTTTGGTTGGACAAATAGAAATTAACAGTCTTGATTGCATTTTGGAGTCAATGTATATATATATATAATATTAAATAACAAAACAAAAATATCTAATAAAAAAAACGTTGCGCATTGGAAGAAGACACAACAGTTTATAAAGTTCCATTCAGACCCGCTTTTTGGGAAGCGAAGAAGCATAAAAAGAAAATTATATTCAGGAACACAAAATAAGTGCATGTCTATGAGGCGCCATAGAGCTTCACTTTTTGTGGAACAAAGTGTTTTTCTACCTGGCAGACCTAAAGAAATAAACAAACTAACATCAAATTAAACCCATGACATTTTTGTATACTTTTAACACATGGAAAATGGAGTTCTTTCAGACATCACACATGATTTTCTACACACTTCGTTCCCCTCACAACCAACGTTCAAGTGATTTCAAAATATATATATATATAAACTGTATTTACTTTATAACTCAGTACCAAATATAAACAAACGTATACAGGTATTGATGTTGATTAGGTCCTCGATTACAAGTACTGCCGGTAGTTCTATAAAATGGTATGTGTGTGTGTGTCTCTTTGTGTGTGCATTAAATAAAAAGCTTAAAAACATGGCAAAGCATACCTGATAGTCGCCGTAGCACAACAGTGTTCTATAGATTAAGCTGATTACATATATGTATAACTGAGTCAGTTTAAGCTTTATGATTATAAACATCATATATAGCCAGTAGGTCCAGTATTCTGCGACAAGCATTACAGCACCAAACGTTTCGTCATTTGGCAAAATTCAAGCTTTAAGTGAAAGTCAAATGCTTTTGTTTAATAATAAAGTGTTACTGTGACGCCGTGATTTGTATAAAGCTAGCAATAACATTTCCCCTTGTACTTTTTTTTCATTCATCTCCCCCCCCCCCCCCAACCTCACGTTGTCTTTTCTTTTTCTTTTTCTTAAGCGTATTCAGTAGTTTTTGCGTCCTGCTAAATCTTGGTGTGCGGTCTGTTTGGCACAATACCACAGCTCTCTTAAATTAATTATAAATATGGCTGTAATACATTAGAGTCACAAAACAGATTTTTTGGTTCCAAGATTTTTGCAGGGAAAGAAAATAAAAAATGTAAAGAATATAATAATATTTAGCGCATCTAAACAAGATCTACAGAGCAAGTTAAACATCTTCCTGTGGACAATAATGCTCTTCTTCTGTCTACAAGCACCGAGCGATATACTTTCAGATTGTGCAGAGAGCCACAGCCACAGCCACAGCCACTCTCTCTGCTCGCAGACAAGAACAGAAATAAAAAATTATCGATAAGACCATAATAACCTCTCTTCATAAATTAAATAATTAACATTTCGCTTTTTTAAATGATTGGCCTACCCCATCTCAAAACTACATCATTACCCTGCCCAAATGCCCCCAACCCAAAACAGGAAATAGAAATACATCACCAAAAACCTGATTTATCATATTATTCGTCGATAGAATCTTTCTCCTGTGGGCTCTCGGCCCAGAGTTGGACACAATTTAACAATAATAAAATCTGTACATCTTGGAGTTCCCACTCTACGAAAGCTTTTCAATTGTTTAAATCCATCTTTTTGTCGTATACTTGCACAATTAAGTAACCTCAAGGTTTGATAGCACTTTGGAGTTGATTGTTTACCAGCTAGTTTACATATATATTATAAACATCAACTTATTTTTAGTTTTGTTTCTCAAGCTTGTTTACATTTTTAGTCCTCTTCCGGGGCAGTGCCAGCGTTGCCCTCACCCCAATTTGATTGGTCGTTGTCGGTGGGCTCCTCCCCATCCAGGTCCTCTCCTTCCTCGCCCTCGAAGTCTTCGTCGCGGGGGAACTCCATGCCCTCCATGCCCTCCTGCGTGGCCTGGTGCGAGTCGGCGCAGTCGGCACAGACGCCGTAGCGCCGCGAGCCGTGACGGATCCCGACGCTCGCCGCCAGCATGAAGATCTTCTTACACACCATGCACTTGTACTTTTTGTCCTTCTTGTGCACCTGTAGGAGAGAAGGGAGCGGGACAGAGAGGGTTGGGGAAAGGAGGTGAGACATTTGAGTTTTTATCACTTTAAAAAAGAAGGTACTTAAAAAGATATGCGAAAAGTCCACAGAATTCCTTTTTAACCACAACAATTATTTGGTATTTACATATCTGTTCATAGAACATTGCTAGTATTTCTGGATCATAATTATGTAATGTTTCATTTCCTCCACTCCTCTAGTGTTAGACAAACAAATACGACAAAGGGAAGGTTCCATTTAAAATACTAATATATATATATATATATATATATATATATATATATATATATATATATATATATATATATATTTTTGAATACTCCTTTTATTGTCATTTTAATACTCTTTTTATTGTCATCGTCAAATACTAAAATATTTTTTGTTTACACGAGTGATTGTGTAGATCAGGGGTGTCAAACTCAAGGCCCGGGGGCCAAATCCGGCCCGCGACTTCATTTTATGTGGCCCCACAAGAGCTTGCAAAGAATATAATATGTTTATTATACGGTTACATGCTACTTTACAGAAGCACGTTGCCCTTAAACGACATGTCCCACAATGCATCTCAAATTTGACTTTTTCTCAGAATTTGACTTTTTTTTTCTTCAAATATGTCTTTTTTCTTAGAATTAGCCTTTTTCTCTTTTTTTTCAAAATGTCACTTCTCTTTTTCAAAATGTCACAATCAATGTTTTTCCAGAATGTGGCTTTTCTTTTAAAATCATATTGTGACATTCTTACTGAAGAGACTTGCAATTATTTGCTCTAGACTTCTGCTTTCAGACGTAGTTAATTATGAAGTTATATTAATTAATGATATAGTCTTAAAGTTACAACCGGCCCTTTGAGTGCAACCATAATGCTGATGTGGCCCGTGATGAAATTGAGTTTGACACCCCTGGTGTAGATGATTTTTCATTGAAGGACACTTTTTGGGGAAAAATAAATACGAATAAATGCATTACCCAAAAAAGTGTTTTTCCCAAATAATAAATGTGGAGCATGATGACGGTTGCAAGTTTGATATTTTTCTACATAGCCAATGTGTTTTGAAAATGTCCCATTAAGCTTATTTTAACATTCAACAGATTACGTTATTATTTTATGCAGAAAACTGCTGCATACAGGCTGTTCTGCCGGTACAACTGGTTTTTGCCTCCTGATTTATAAACACGTAATGTCATATCTTAGACATACTGTAGGTCTCACATCCATTTGTTGTTAAGACATTTTGTGACTCTAAGATACTCCATATATTAGAAAACCAGTATCATTGCATTCAACTTCTCACTCCCTGGAGCCTGACACAAAACATGAGGCGGGGTGCAAAGATGCGAGGGTGGCCTAAGCTCTGTAGCGTTTGGCAGAAAATGGTGGCTGCGCCTCACACGGCGGTGTAAAAGAGAGGGTCCGTTGCATATGTGGACTCACCAGGGAATGTCTCTTGACGTGCTCGCGGCGGGTGAACAGCTTGCCGCAGATGTCACAGCTGAAGGAGCGCACGCCCGAGTGGATGATCAGGTGTCTCTTCAGCGTGCGCCGGTGCTTGGCGATGTAGTTACAGTGGGGGCACTTGAGCTTATTGAGGGCTAGGTGTGAGGACTCGCCTGCGAAGAGAGAGAAAGAAACAAAAACATTCAGACAAAGTGATTTAGAGACTTCATGTCTAAGGATTTTTGATTTAGTGTACATCTTAAAAACGGACAATCAAAAGAAAACATGCTTATATAGACAAAAACGGTTCAATTGCCACACCCACTGAGAGAAAGTATTTGTTCTGCCCTCTTTTTTCTCCTCTTAAAAAAACAATACCCCATTTTACTCCTACACAATAGACTGCTTGGTCACCATATGTATTGAGACCACCATGTCTTCTCTCAACTGACACGTGTTTCTTTACTAAATAAAAAAATATATAAGAAACTCAACCATTGTTAGCTCTTTCAGTTAGATGTATTTCATTGGAAGAACAAACCGGAGATGGAAGAAGACAATCATCATAAAAGCTACATCTGCATCTATAGATCTTCTAATGAGGGAGGGGTGTGTCAGGAACCAATATCCTGTTTATCAAATCACAGAGTTAAGATGCGGTAACCATTACGGAGAATAGGACACCACAAAGGGATGTATCACAAAAAGCCTCTTTAGAAAAAGTTTGCTCAACTGTAGATTCAACAGAATACTGCACAGCTCTGTCACTGTTGCTAAGTAACTGTTCGTAACGATGCTGGAGGTCTCCTTGAGGCAGTGTTACAAAGGATGCAGACACGCATTAGCAGTGAATGTAAAGCAGGTCTGTTGTTGTTCTACATGGACGTAATAATGTCGTTTGGTAGAAGATATTAAAGAATTCATCATTACCAAACCAGTGGTTGTGATGGTAACTGTTTTTAAAAGAGGTTCAACTAATAACGTATTGCCTCATTAAGAATCAGCTTTTTTTATATTATCCATAATGCTGATTATCTAGTGCATTCTGGATGTTCAGTAATATGGGGGAGCACCCGTAACATCAAACCCAATAAAATACAACACCTTTATTTATCAACCATGAAGATCGGCTTCAATAAGATTTAAAGACGAGAGAAACAAGGTATCACATGTTTGTTTTGGTTTTTTTTTCATGTCTAAATGAGACATCAATTTGTCCTCACACAAACACAGATGTTTATGCTAAACAAACTCCTGAGGACAGCTGGGCTGACAAATAAATAAGCAACCTATTGATTCTGAAGAGCCTCCTAACAGAGTGGTAGTGCTTCAGTGTAGAAAATGGGGTGGGGGGGGGGGGGGGGCTTTTGTTTGAGCCAGGGTGAACACAACAGAGGCGTTGTCAGGGCAGGTTGCTAGGGAGAGGAAGGCGGAGGAGGGTTGATGAGAAGCAGGTCACCTGAGTATTTTCCGTGTATGTGTTCTGGATAGAATTATATTTCATAATAATAATAATAATAATAATAATAATAATTAGTAATTGCACTGTGGCTTCGTTTTTTGAGTTTTAGATAGTTTTTTAAGCTTGTTTTTATATTCTAATCTCTTGCATTTTTAATGTCCGTTTTTAAATATCATTTTTTATAAATATCTTGCTGCCCTCAATGTGAAATGCATAAATAAAAATGCCTCGACTTACTTTTAACCTTTAGAGGTTAAGAATACAATAGAATTTTCTTAAGTGTATTTTCCTTTTTACTTTAAGGCCAATAGGCGCTTTCACACCAGAGTACTTTTCCCCCCGAACTAGGCCGATAGGAGGGGAGGGGAGGGGAGGGGGGGATTTGGTTTCACACCAAAAAGGATCTGGAACTAGTCCCTAGTTCGCGCGAACCTTTTCACCTCCAGATAGTCCCTGCTAGAGAGGTGGTACTTTCCTGAGGAGGAAATGGTTCGTGGGTGTGTCGGCCACACTAACAATTTCTGATTGGCTGGGCGAATTGCAAACCACGCCCCGTAAAACTCAGAAAAGTTTTGTGAACCCAAAGCAGAAGAAGAAGTGACGTCAGCGGCTTCATTTGCCTAATCCTCCCTCAGGGACCTCCGGTGAGAACGCGATCTACTAGGACAGTTCGAGGGACCCCGTTTACACGAGGACGATACGGGTTGTATCTGCATAGTTTCTCTTGCGTATAGCCCTTTCGTTTACACGAGGCCGTAACAAAACGATAGAAACGGACCCCGCAAACGATAACGGGTCCCAAGGGGGATAGATCTGCAAACGGAATGCTCTGGGGGGGCAAACGGCTCCGTCTGTACGCCTCTATACGATCATTTTCTGATAACGATGAAATGGAGAATAAACAGAAGGGCAACCATGGCAACCATGCTCCGGGGTCTTCTTCGCTGCTTTTGGTGTATTTTGTGGCGGCAGCAGCGCCACTTACAGGCCCGGCATATGTACTACAGCGTTTCCAGCGTTTCCAGCGGTCTCGTGTGAACGGACACGTTAAATGAATCGAATGCGTGTGAACGGAAGATTTTTTTGAAAACGCATACGTTGCGTAAACGGAAACGTTCCCGTGTAAATGGGGTCTTAAAGAGTTCCGGGGGAACAAGTACCGGGGACAAGTACTGGCTAAGTACTTGGTGTGAAAGCGGCTAATCACCCAGATACTCTTCTACCACAATTAATAATAATTTCTCTTTCATTCCCTATGCATTGTGGGAAGCAAGTGTCCAACAGCACTGCTGTGTGTTTTTTTTTTAAAGCATACATTAACTTTTCGACACTGCAATCTTAACACACTGCATACTCGCATACATACTTATTATCAGTGCGATGTATGGCATTAGGCTGCATAGCTTTGTGTACTTTAGACCAGGGGTTTTCAAAGTGTGGGAAGGTGAGCCTCCCCTCAGAGAACATAAGAACAGCCGCGCCCCCCCTCCCAATTATTATTGCTATTATTATAATTATTATTATTATTGTTGTTGCTATAATGCAGGGGTATTATTATCCAGTGGAATGCCCTTACCTACTGGCCTAGTTAAATCAAATTGGTTACTTATTTTTGTCTGGGCAGTGTAGTTTTACACACCATCTTATTTGACTTTCTCAGGGCAGACCCCCACAAAGAAAAAAATATATGTACACACGTAAGGTCATCATCTTAACAGTTTTTTATGCTCGAGTCATCCGTGAGCAGAGCATCAAGTTGCCTATTACAGCTGAATGCTGCGATTACCATCTTGTTCAGCAAAACGCCTCACAAACGTATTAAGATCCAAAGCTTTAGTGCGTTTTGATTCAATGCTGAGCACAGCCAAACTTGACAGTCTCTTCTCTGTCATTGTAGACCCCAAATACCTTATTCCTTCCGTGTACTTGGGTCCGAATGCTTCTCGTTTTCTGCCGCCCGTTCAATTGAAATCGCCGCCAATCACATTTCCTCGCTCGCGCCAGGGTTACAAGGCTCGCGTCTTGTGCTGCATTGACTTGCACTCGGACATCAGGGATTTTCTCTGATAAATGTCCGATGAGCCACAACTTTTATTTCAAAAACAAAGCTGCCAACTGGGGTGGCCAGACGCTGTCTCCTCTCTCACTTTAGGTAACTTCACTAAAAATCGATCCATGTTGCCGCTCGCATAAAGTTAGCTGAAGTTAACGAGCTAGATTTCACTGTTTCTCTTAATTTTTTTCTCACGCTGCGCCTCCCCTGAAGCTCTCTGGCGCCCCCCAGGGGAGGCGCGCCTCACACTTTGAAAACCGCTGCTTTAGACAACGGCCGGCTACTCCACCACCAGTTTGAAACTAATTAGTATTTTCTGACCTAAATGAATACAATTGACTTCATTCGTACCTGTACAGTTTGTAAAGACATGAGCATGTCATTTTGACACAACAATTAAATAGAAATAACTATTGACTCGACTGCCCACACTCAATTAGGAAGATGCATTTAAGTTAAACATTTCAAGTTGCGTTGAAACTGTTTTTTTAGTTTAGTTTTTTTAAAGTGGTAGTCTAGCGAGTGCGGCGTCTTACCATTCTCCCAGGACTCCCCTTGCTGTAAGTCCTGGATGATGCTATACTGGATCTGATTGGCCAGCTCTGGGAAAGGGGGAGGGGGGGGACAAGAGAAGCGAGAGGGGGAAAGAGAGATGAGAGGTGGGTGAGAGCCTGCATGGGGGGGTTGCACACCTCACAACGCCTTGTGTACACAACTAACCAAACCCCCCACGTGAAACAAAGGAAGTTTCAGTTAACCACATAGGTCAGCACACACAAACACACAGGTCCCTACTATATGTAAAACAGTGTGCTCCCCTGGCCAGAGTACAAACTGATGGTGTAACCAGGGCTCCAGCGGGGAGGGGGTTAGTGAGAGTCTGGCCCTCACACCGGCTCAGCTTACACCCAGCTTTTGAAAGCACTTGTGTGAGAGCACCTGTGTGTGTCCTGTTCCTCCAGCATTTAGAGCCCATTAAAGTGTGTGTCAGTGTGTGTGTGTGTGTCCATTCTACCCAGGTCAATATTTGGAATAGTGAGGACAGTCCCAGTGCATTAGAGTGGATTAGGGAGGGTGGGGAGTGCCCCTGGTAGCTTTGCACCTCGTAGGGATTTGGTAAGTTATTGTGCATTTGTGTGCACGCTTCAACAGCGACTAGTGTGTATGCAAATGCATTTCACCTGCTCTGTGTGCAGCACGCACCCTTTACAACAATCCAACAGTGTTGTTTGGAGAAGACCCAAGAATTTATTGGCTATGAGCTGTGAGGCTCAGCGATGCAAGAGCAGACAGCGATGGCAAAGTACTTATATCCTTCCAACCAGCCTTCACTTTCAGCTGCTATTTTCCACACAACACTAGCTTTCATGTCAATCTGTAAACGATCTACCTCCAATGGTTTCAGACATTTTCCCTGCAGAAAGCAGCATGTATTTCATGGTTGAAGTCTCTTAAACGAGATCATTGTGCTTTTTCTCCCAAATGTTTCAGTTATAAACTGAACATGTTTGGGTTTAGGACAGCAGTTGAATGTAGAAAAACAAACAAACATACAACTCGGACTCAAGAGATTTTTTTTGCCATTTGCCAAGACTATATCCAATTAAGAAACAGCCACCTTATAAAAGAGAAAAATACAAAATACAAATTATTTTAAAGGGAAGATACGCAACAGCAGAGAGATTACCACCATTTGGGCGACTGCGTTTCCATTCTTGGCGCATGACCACACAGATCAAACTGAGGCTAAATGAAACCCAAATGGGTTACATCACTGCGGCAAACTGGGACAGCTAATATTGGTGGATGACTGCTCCTATGGCTCGGTCAAAAATATGCAAGCCAGCCAAGACTAAACGCACAAGAGGGCTGTCTAGTTTTAGATCGAGCATCTCACAACCAGAAGATGATGTTTTGCTATTTAATCATGTGCGCACGCACAACAGTAAACCCTTCGAGTCGCTTCTGCATCATTGCTTTATGGAATAATCTAATAACCCACAGCAGATAAGGCTAACCGTTGGACACGTACTCATTTTTGCTTTGTAAAGCAATATTTCGGTAAAGCGTAACTAATATTTTACATATCATGTGGCACAGATATCTAGAGCGAGTCACATCAAATGAGCACTGTGCAAAACACAAGACTAATCAAGCCTAGAGAGCACAGAGAGGCTGTGGGAACAAAATGAAAGATTTAGCCAATTAATTTATCTCCATAAATGGTAGTCATCGTGTGCGTTCCAGGAGATGTGGAGTAAAACATTGCATTACTATAGTTGGGTGCCCTGACACTACACACACAGTTTACTCCATGACACAGCAGCTTTTCTACCTAGAAATACTACAAAACAAAATGTAGAATATTCTTCACACATACACACACACATAACTGGATCCCTCTCACTCCTACAAAACCACACATGTCCTAGAACCTGAAGGCAGGGCTGGAAAGCTTTAACGCAGAAAAGAAAGACTACATTATTAAAACATTCATACAAATTAATAAGCAGCTTACACATCACACATGGACACGCAAACTATAAATTAAAAACTGTCAACTTAAAAGCTTGACTAAATAGTAAATAGGTCGGCATATTACATATTTGTTCTGATAGTTTCCTCCATCTCACCTTGTCTTAACAAATCGAGAGTAAAAGTGTTAAAGAATTCACTTTCAAAAAGCCAGTCAGTCAGAAATGTGGACAAAAAATGGAAAGAGAAACTGAAAAAAAAACTAGTAACACTTTGCAAAGCCTTTTGTGAACATTCCTTTTAAAAAGGGGAACCTAAAAGCTATATACACAATAGATAGTAGACGGCCCTGAAATAATGTACTTTTTTTGATAAGGTCCAAAAGGGCAAAGGGTCCTCCTGTCACTCTGACATTACACTGCATCAGCAGAATGTGTTTCTGCATCAAATCCTTGATTTTAAGCCCTTATAGAGACTAAATATGCGCAGATCTATTTTGAAACTCTTAACATAGAGTACACTGTATGAATGAATGGTCTGCTGAGCACAAAACTATCATTTAAGGGTAAACAGTTTCCTTGAAACCTTTTACTGTGACTAACAGCCTACTTGAAGTCCTAACCATATCTTTATTTGGAAACATGGTATACATTAAGGAGAGACGTGGAGCTAAACAGCAAAGACACATGAGGAGGAGAAGGTACGCGAGTTAGCACACATGCAGACAAACAGTCTTTAAGTGAGCGTCTCTTTAGGCTATTACAACACCATGGATCACTTTGTGCACACATTAAAAAGAACCATAGGAGGAGTTGGAGGCACTAACAGCCTTCAAGTGCATTTAGGGAGGCCTGGGGGGGGAGAAATGTTTCCCCTGCTTTCTTCATGTCCCTGCATTAGGGAGTCTCTCTCTTTCTCTCATACAAAATGTAGATCTCTCACACTTTCTACACACACCACCTCCCCTCCCCCCGATCCATACCACTTCACTTAATATGTGATATCATTATGGAGCGCCATGCTTAATGGGGCCAACCGAAGGAGAAGGCAGCAGCTATGAGAAGAGATTACTATAAGATAAGAGCGCTACACTGTATGTGGATAGTGATGCATAGATTAAGGTAAAAAAAAAAACAAGGTATCAAAAGGTCAACAGAAAGGGAGAAGATAAACAGGTGCAAAAGTTTTATCAAGAAAGATATTGAGTTTATTGCCAACCACATCATATAAGGTGGTATTTTGAGGATAGTTCCATCCCCTAATCCCGTTAAATATCTACTTTTTGTGATTTTATAGATAAACATTACCCATCTGAACCATAACATAGCTTCAACATCATTGAATTGTACTTAATCTTATCAAATCTTCTTTTCAGCAGCGATGTGGCAACACACCTCTGAGACAAAGCACTCCAGGTGGGCGTCACGTTGCTAAGCCCCCTGCTCTGGGGTGATTAAAGGATCATGGGGGGGGGAGTTACTCAAGTCTTGGCTCTGCACAGCAGGTTAAAAGCTAGATAAGCAACTGTCCTGTTAGGGGTCACGGCAGGGAATGGATGGAAGGGTGAAAATCTATACTTTTGGTGTTGTGATCAATTCTTTGATCATGAAAACTAGTGATCACGCCTGTGTGACCGACGGGTGGCCACAGATTAGCTTTTAGCACGAAATCGATCAAGATGAGTGTGACATGATCACATACGACCCTTACTGGTGATTGATCTTACATATTCAAAGTCATTCAAAGGTGTGATCTTTAAGAGCATAATTATACTACATTTTCCAGGCTTGCAAAAAGAGGATCAAATACTAAAGCCATATGAACTTCAGGGTTAACCTCTTCAGCCCTACTGACCCCCCTCGCCCCCGTAGGTTAATCATTAAATCGCAGGAATTTTTCAAAACCTACCGAATTCCATTTTAAATACAGAATTCAACCAAAGATAGTTTATGTGAGCATCATTTAGCTTCAAGTGAATGTTGGGACAAGGAGAAACTGAATGTCACGGTAATCTTAGTGTTTAGAGGTTAAACTGGTGGTGGGGGGAGGGGGCAGGCAGAAGCATCAAGCTAGTTAGTGATGCTAGCTGACCCAACTGGTTACATTTTCCAACAAGCTTATATTGGTTGATTCCAATTTTTTAGCTGAGTATTTATATAATCTGTCCCTCACAACTTTGTTTTTAAATTTGTTTAGTGTTCCCCAAGCCATTGTCATAAATGTATGAAGTATTGTAGATTCTCTAAACAATGTCCAAACACAATGAATAGACGTGCAAATAAAAGAGAAAGTGAAGCATTCAAATGATGTTTTTCAGGTCAGCCTTCTATCTTTGAAGTACTTAGTTCAGCCCTACAAATGATAATGTCACATTCTGCATGCACCTCCCTACCTTAGAAAGGGAGCTTGTTCCTTTTACCTACAGTGAGTATACAGTGTGACTGAGAGCAATAAGAAATTCATGAGATAACGGTGAAATCTATTTATATATCATAGGGGTAAGGACTGGCCGTTGTGAGGATATGAAGTGTGTTTAGAGCTACAAATGTGTCTCATACCGGCATTCTCGGAGAGGGAGGAGAAGTCCTCTCTCGGGAAGGAGGCAGAGGGCTGGAGGAACATCCCCTCTTCAAATCCCTCTTCAGGCTCTGGAGGAAAGTTGTACACAAAACGGCGTGTGGTGGTCTGTTTTTTCCTCCGCCCGCTTCCTGCCGCTGAATCCGGGGCTTCTCGTTTGATTGATGCGGAGGCTCCTGCAGCGCCACCTGTGACCGGCTCGTTCCAGATGAAGACCTGTCCTCTGGCCGACCGTGGGTCATTGGTCTCTCCTGAATCAGACGAGTTGTCGTTGCGGTGGCTCCAGTTACCAGAGGCTCCGGGGGTCACCAGGGCACAGCCCTCACTCCCAACCACGGTCACCTCTATGTCACTGGACTCCTCCTTTACCCTGCCACCTGTGTCTTCTTCTTCTTCCATTGATTCCTTTCCTTGATTGTTGCTGGCCTTGATCGACAGCTTTGACAGGATGCTTGTGGCCCAGAAGTTGCTCGGCTTGCGGTCCAGGCTTCTCTGTCCGTCTTTGGACACCGTCTGCCTCTTGTTGTAGTCCACCACCACTGAATCAGGAGCCTCCTGCTTGATGCTGATATTCAGGGCATCCTTTATAAAAGCCCTGCATGAATGTACGACCTCTGTCATCTGGAGGTAACTGGCGACAGACATCACCTCAATGGCATTTTGGCTTGTGAGCAGCAGATTCCCAGAGTAGAGAAAGTCCAGGATGACGGAGAAGCCCTGCACGGCAGCAACATCCAGGTGCGTGGTCAAGGCCTGGTCCTGGGCCTCGCTCTTGGTCAGACAGTAGAGGGTTTTGAAGTAGCGGCTGCCCGCAACCAGGATGTTCTTGTGTGCGCGGAACACCTGGCCCGAGACGTTTATGTTTACGTCGCAGAGGATGCCACTTTTGCGTTGCTTGTCCAGCTCCTGGAGCAGCTGGTAACAGTAGGAGTTCTCGTTGGGCTTGAGGCGGTAGTCGTCCTCTGAGCAGCGATTGGAGGGGCTGCCGTTGTCCGAGGGCCTCATTGTCTCCTATTAACATGAAAGAGAAGGAAAAAAGAAAAGAAAAACATATTTAAAACGTGTTCTCACAAATGAGCAAAAGCAAGCACAAACAAACAAACTTGTCCTTGCTGAAATTCTGTCTGTACTATAAACAGGCACAGTCACACACCCTCGGGGCTCGCGGTGTGGCACCTGCCCAGGGTGGGAAACAGGTTCGACAGGCTCTTGTTACGGGGGGGTTGGGGGGGGGGTGGGAAAGAGGCAATGAAAGGTGTGTTGCCGTTTGGCTGGGTAGTATTACCTAGCCCTATAAGCAATTTAATATCAAGTCCTAACCAAAAAATAACGCAATGCCAGATAATATTATAATAAGACTGTAATTGAACGTATAAAAAGGGAAAAGTATTTTCCTTTTGTAGTAAAACTTAGGCTGAGAGAGCACGGATATTTTGATAGGAGGGTAAAAATATTCAGTAAATCAAATGTTTAAAACAACAGTGAAAACTTAAAAAGACAACATACTGTAGTTTTAGGTAGATGGAATATTTTATTCCATTTATGCTTTAATAAAAAACACCTCAACAAGATACCACTTTTGCACCTGCTTTTGTTTAGAAGTCCAAGGCAAAACCAAAATGACATCACCAAGCAAAGTGAAAAGCAAGAGACATCATCGTTCACACATCTCGAAGATCACTCTCCATTAGAATTCCCCTTGAAAATCAACTTTTAATAATTGTATTTCATTAAAAGCAAAAGTGAAGAGTATTATAAATGTTTCAGAAGCATAACCTCCATTTGTAGTAACACTGGAGTTAGATATTTATTTTGTCATCGTAAATGAATACTTCAACGCTGCTTCCAACTCCAGTAGATGTGTAAGAAGACTTTACACACTTTCACCTTCTATATCTTTCTCTTCAATTTGTAAGCTAGATGTAAAACAGGCCATTATTAGTCCTGAAGGAAGGGCCGCCCAGTGTGTAAAGCAGGACACGACGTGGCTGTAGGATGGGAGGGGAACTGGCAGAAGCATAGAACTGCCCTGTAACAGCCCCCCTCCCCCCTCATAGCAGGGCAAAGGGCCAGACTGGTACGGAGCAGAGAAGAGGGGAGTATTTACATGTGTATGCATACTTGTACATATGCACACATACATAATAAACAGCCAAAATATATGCAAACAAAAATCCATATACACCATCCATGTGTAGAACTCTACATTATAGTTTCATACTTCAACACACACACGCAGCAGCATACATCTACGACTCATTTTAGAATTGCACAGCAGATGTCCTAATCCAGAATAATTCACATTGCTCGAGCCTTGCATTTTTGCCCCCGCCTACCACCGTCTCTGCTGCGCACACATGCATGTACACTCACACACAACTACACAGAAACCAAGCTGCCTACACATACACACAGCTGGGGTTTCAGCTCGAGTAATTCAGATTAAATCCATTTCTCTGAGGTCCCCACCCAGCCCCCAGCCCCCACCCCTACTCCCTCCACACTGCAGTGCTTGTCCAGGGCAGCCTGGGCACACAGGATAGTATAGGGGGGCTTATCATCCTCTGCCACAGCTGGAGGGGAGAGATGAAGAGATAGGATGGACTAAAATCAGAGGCAGAATGAGGGAGGGATTGGGAGGGGGGAAAGTGGACATACTTTGCTGGCTAGAAGAAATGAAGGACAGAAATAATAAAAGGACACGAGAGCAGAATTGTAGAATTCTGGCAATGAGTTGATAGAAATAAGTGTGTAAAGAAGATGAGAAATGGTGGCGGTCGTAACGTAAAAGAAAAAGAGCCTGATAACAGGCACAAAGAAAAGCGAGTAAGAGCATGAGGCAGAGATTGAGAGAGCGAGACCTTGAGCCTCGAGAAAAAAGGGCGGAGGAGAAAATGTGGAGCAGAGGGGGACGGAAAACCAGTGCGCTAGAGAGAAGGAGTTGGGTCACCCCATTTTAGCCTTCACAATAGCCCGTGTTCTCCCCGAGGCTCATTGTCCACTCACTGTAGGCCTTTGTGAAAGGTTTCGGCACTCACTCTCTTATTACACAGCAGCTCCCACTCGCAGGCATAGAAAGGAGCCAGAGAGCGTGTGGGTGAGGCGAAGAGGATGGGGAGAGAGGAGAACAATTATTCCATGATATACACATCAAAGCCTCTGGAGAGGCATGGTCATCATGCTGAGTACTGTGGTGGAATAGATTGGTGTGGGGAAGGGCAGGAGTGCTATCACAACAAGAGGTGTTGGATGAGCATCCAATCTAGAATGAATTTAGTTTTTGCTGCTTCGTTTTCGTCCAGTGCTTTTTCTTTTTCATTTGTTGCGAAAAAAAGAGCTCTCCAATTTGCTGAGCAAACCGGCAAATAAAGTTAGAAGATGGGGAGGGTTGAATAGAAGGAAAAAAAAGAGACTATATTTTAGAAATGCAATAAATAAACAAGCGCTTCTCAGACTCCAGAGTACCTTGGAATTTACAGATGTGTTTTATCTTTCCAACTTACTGGCCATCCCACCCCCAAACCCCATGATTCCCCACAGCTTTTATCCATTACACATAGCAAGGCATTGGGCCAGAGAGGTAAGACTCTGCCTGGCAGTTCTGATAGGAGTTGTGTGTCTGTGTTGGAGTCAGTCTAGGACAGCCTGGTACTGGATAAGTTGCTCCATACTGGCCTCATCAGCAGCAGCAGCATCATCATCATCATCCTTTCTCCAGATGTGCCACGTGTGAGCAGGGAGCTTAGAGAACCAGCAGACCGACCCTGCAGAGCAGATGCTGGAGGCAAAACCAGCCTGAGCCAAGAGAGAATGTGGGGACAATATCAACCTCCCCCATTGTGACGTGGCTAGGTTTTTATTTGAGCCAGAATTGGTAGCGGTGGAAGAATGAGAGTGCAAAAAGAATCCAAGAGGGCTCTGGGAAAGAAAAATCCTTTGATCTAGATACATGGACGGTTAAAAATCTACCGTGAATGGCCAATAATAACTGATTTACAGGTGGATTAAACATATCAAGATGGTCATAAAGTCAAGCTTATTGAAGGGCTTGCCTCAGCCAGAGTATTTACAGATCATGTGATACAGCACTGTGCCCATTCAACATAATGAACCACCGGAGCCAGTTTTTGTTTACCTTACATGTTTGCCTCCATCCCCTCATTTGTCTACCCCCAACCACCATCAAGCCAGTCCCATGACCAGCCCAGCCCTGAGGCCATCTCCGCCGGTCTTTCCCCAACTCATCTACTGTATCCTTCCCTAACCCCCCGACCCACCCCTCCTCACCCAAACCAGTCTGTCCCCAGATGCTAGAACAATACTGCAGTGTGTGTTCGGGCCCAAGGTGTGGGAGGGCTGCACTGAGTGTCTCCCGGCCTCCTAACAATGCTCAGACAGAAGAGGCAGAGATGGGGGGGGGGGGAGAAAACGAGGGGAGGGTAGAGTCACTGGCAGTTTCAACATGAAGAATTTCCCCTCTGGCTCCACCCCACCCCATTCCCTTGACCTGTGGCCCCCAATAAACATCCCATCTATCTGTTGAACTCAACACTGCAAAGGGTGGGTCCCCTTTCCTGTTCGGGGTGACTCACTCTTAACAATGAGTCTGATGTTATCTCAACTAAAATGAGAGGTTGTAATGACTTGTGTAGACATTTTTGAATTCCCCCCTGGGATCAACACTTATCTTACACCCCATTTAGACCAACACAGTGATGCAGGTAAAACATTTGTTTGGCCGTCAAACTGAATGAGGCTACGCTGATCAATAGACATGGCTTCAGGAGCCTCATCCTGGTCTGGGTTGACTGTAAGGGTTTGGTTAACAAACATCTTAGAATTGGACATTTAATTTGTTATTGACATTCTCACAAAGAATGATAAAGGGAGACAAGAAAGCAATAGTTGAGTAAGAAACAAAGAGGGGATTTATGGAAAGGCTGTGTGTGGAGAGAACTCCACAAGAAAATATGATTGTAGATTATTGTCTCTGTAGATGGTGGCGACAGGGGATTACTCTGCAACAACCAATGTGGGTTTAACAGAGACAGACACACAAACACACCCTTTTACCAATTTTTGAACAAAAGGAACAAACAGTTACTAGAGAATAAATGCAACTCTTTAAGGTCCCGGATCCGTGATCTCATATTTGATTTACGGGGAAATGCATTACTTTTGTCTTAACCTTTTACCAGTGAACATAGGGAATAATCTGAGCACAAGACAGTGTCGAGAGAACAGCCCCCTTTTACAAGGAGACCCACATTTACCACAGCTGCCCTGGTGTGCTAGGGGTAATCGAGTTAGGTTTAACGAATGCAGCAGAGGCCTGACTAACGTCAGGAATGGGTGAATAGAACAAAACGTTGCCTTATAACACCATAATTCCTCTTTAATGTACTGCCGCACAATGCTACCTTACTAAACACACAGCTGCTATTATTTTCAACAGTACTGTATAAGAGGAGGAGTATGGCTTTACTCAAAAGTCAGTCATTAGAAAAAAAATCTAATCTGAGGAACCCTAAAATATAATTCAATAAAAATCGGAATGAAATTATCTCATATAATGTGGCCTGGGGACTGCATCGTCCCAGCTCTATTCTACTTGAGGAAATGACCTGGATAACCTCTCAGTGCAGTGTCAGGGGTCCTTGTTGCTAGGGAAACGCCACACCAAGCCCCTAATCCACACTTACTGCCCTCCTTACCAATTAGAGATGTGTACAAGTTAGTGGATCACTTTAAGTCATTCTGATTAGTGATAGCGTGTGCAAAACAAGGAACTAAATGTAGTAGTACAATCCGCTCTGCTCACAAATCAGAGTCAAACAGCCCCCCGCTCTTAATTCCCCTGACAGCTCAAACCAATGTCAGGATAGGCAATCGGATGTGGAAATATAGAAGAAACAGAAAGTGATAATACGTTCCAGAATAAGGATTGATGGGAGAAATGCCCTTTGACACCAGATTGTTCGGGCAAATATGCACTCCCAGTTTTTATGAGGTCTCTTAAGGAGTACCATAGAATGTTGGCTACACGGCAATACAAATAATTAACCAATAAAAAGACGTCATGCACATCAATAAAGACATAGTTCACCAAAATGGTGCAGTTGATTTTGATTCTAAGCAAACAAATACTGTCACTAAGTTTATACCTACCTTAAGCTTAGGCTAACCATGTGGTCTTTATATGCCAATTAAGTAAAGAGGGCCACTTTTCCAATACAGTTTTAAGTCTTGTGCATATGTGATGGTGTCTTAATCATAAGATATGCCCCAAAGGTATAACATTAATGCCCATTAATTCACAAATATGTGGATGACAGGGTCAGGTGATGCCATGTCATTCTATTTACTGACATCTATTTTACCCATTCAAGTCTATTCATAAAGGGCCATGCAAGCTGTCAGGCTCCAGGCTACATGATTTACTCTCCTGCTCTTGTCCAGCCCTGCAAGTGACACCATCTATGGATTTTGGGGGGTCATTTTAGCACAATGCCTCTAATTTAGCTCCCCAAAGGGAGGAGGAGGAAGAAGAAGAAATGCGCCAGAGGTCACCCGGGACTGCGAGCCAGCAGAACTGCTTGATGAGAGGCGGAGAGGAGGGGGGTTGGGTAGGGGTGCGGTTCCCCAAAGGCTGCTAGGGTCGAGCCCTTGCCATTTTGTGACCTTTAGCAAGCTAGCAATCAAGGCAGCTGCTGATGAAACAAAAGGGTTTGTTGTACAGTGTGTACAACAAAAACATAAGCGTATAATACCACCAACACTCTCCATTAGCTGTTGCTGACTCTTTAGTGATTTCGAAATGACTCAAAGTTGTTGTTGTGTGACTTGTTATTAATTCTCCATTCTAAGGAAACAGCCTCCAGTGTAGCAGGTGTCAGTGGAGCAGGTTTGTGCGTGTCACTTGACTGATGAGTAGGCAGACACTGACATCCGTGTCACTCACGCTAAAAAGGTGTTTGTGTGTTTCGCCATTCATTAGTAGTCGACATTAACTTCTCCAGGGGCTTTCCACTACAGTGTCTGCCCCTCTACCTCCGGCTGCACAGCGAAGCTTCAAGCGGCTAACCGGCTAGGCTAGTGGTTAGCTCAGGTTAGCAGGCTGACGCTAGCTAATCAGCCGGGAGAAGGGATTGTGAAGCTTAAGTAGTTTCGCCTTCGTTTTGTTTCAGAAGTTGTGAACACTGACGCTAAATACTGTCAAACAACACTTTTTAAGACATATGTTATGAACAATGTATGACAGGTATTTGTTGTCACGCTAAGTCGTCACGGAGCTAACGTTACCTGTTTGGTGGGGTCATTCCTGCCGTGCTCAGAAGACAGGTGATGTCTCAGCAGCAAGGCCCTCTTGTAGTTGCGACTGCCTTTCACAAGCTCGTCGCTGTTTTTAGTGGCAATGTTGTGACACCAAGAACAAGACATGACTCCAGTCTCCTGGCAACATTTTAGCCATGGAAATTCTTGCAACCACGAAGCATGGAATACCGAGTGTTTCTGAAGCAACTTCTGCGGTCTCATCTCTACTCCTGATTTCCTGGAGCCCGGCTCGCCTCCGGTCGCACAGCTTCCCGACTCCGTGCCTTCGTCGTTGTTACCGGCACCGTTCGCCTCTGTCGAGCTGTTCCCCTGCCTGGACCCGTCCTCCGCTTTCACGGAGCAGACACGGTCGTCCACGGCTGCCCAGCTGCCCTCTTCCGGGTCCTCTTCCTCCTCCGCCTCGGGTTCCGTGCTATCGCTGACAGACCCAGCGCCCTCCACTCTCTTCTGCGATGATCCTTTAGCCCCGAGATCCCTGTCCTCCTCTTTATCCGGCCTGTTCCCGTTAAAATGTCGGTCTTGACAGGTCGGGGCCTCCCAGCTGTTACAGTTCCCCCCACCGATACCGCTGGACGCCGTTAACCCAGCTAATCCACTTCCTCGGAAAGCCAGCGACCTGCGGTTTCTCTCACCGGACATTTTTCTTAATATATATTACAATCTTCCCCTTCTCAACAGTATCCCCCTTACGCAAAATATATAGTTGTAAACGATGTATTTTCCGAAAGAGATGGACCGTCGTCGTTTCTTTTCCCCGCTTTGGCCCTCCCGGTGAGAGTATGTAGGTTATGCGGAAATAAATAAAGGTTTTAAACGCATAATGAATTTCAGGGTTCTCGCTGCGTCCGCGCAGGCCCCGCAGAGGTCGAATGGCAACGACTTTCCTCCCCACAATGCACCTCGACCAGAGAAAGGGGGGTTGGCAGAGGGAGGGGGCGGCTTTTAAAGGAAGATGGGGATCTGTTGATCAGCAAGGGGTCTTTGTGTTTAAAGGCTGCACCCATTTCCCGCATGCTTTTAATCTTTTGACTTTGCTTGTCTACTCAGCCCATGAATGCTGACTTGTGTGCCCCACTTACCCCTATGCTTAACGGGGTTACCATGATATTCCTATACTATTCCTATGGGAATACTACAATAACTTTTAGTGTGTCTTTTTCTACTTTGTTGATTTTTGACTGCAATCATAAACAAGATAAAGCATCAACTAAATATATATCAATATACATTTCGATAAAGTAGTTCATGCATATGTGCGAATTTATTGTGATAATTAGTTACAAATACAAATGCTTATTAATGTCCCATTACATCTAGTAATACAATTGTCAAGAATACTACTAAGTGTATGTCACTATGATATCATAATTAAAAAAATGTATTAAACCAATATTCATTTGTTAAATAATGAATAAATAGACAGTCATGATAATATATTGAAAACATGTGACTGTAATAAAGTCATGTGGTGTGTGAGCATGTACATGATGTAGTAGAAACCTCAAGAGACCAGTTAGATATTACAGCTTAGAGTACATTTTGTCATATCAACATGTATCTCAAGTTTCTGTTCCCTGTCATCGGGATCAGGTCCAGCAGGTGGCACTCTTTCATGTGGACACCTCTGTGTGTGTGTGCGTGTGTGTGTGTGTGTGTGTGTGTGTGTGTGTGTGTGTGTGTGTGTGTGTGTGTGTGTGTGTGTGTGTGTGTGTGTGTGTGTGTGTGGGGGGGGGGGGGGGCGGTGTGTGTGTGTGTTTGTAATTCTTGACATAGTTGAGTGTCTAGTTTCAATGCTGTCCAATTAAGGGCTTTACACGCAGTGTGTGAACAAGAGTTGGATTTAACCCAGGTTTTGATTACCAAAAGGTGGGGGTTGCAGCCCACTGTAATGGTTACATTCCCAAGGGTGTAATAAGGCATGTCATGTACAATTAGTATATTTATTTCTTGCTCCAGCTGATACAAGTATTGGCTTTTAACTTGTCATAAGCACAAGAATGAATTTGACAAATTGAGTTTCCATGCTCTGAATGCAACAGTGTCAAACTATTCTCATTTGAAATAAACAAGTAACCCTTGTGATAAGTTTCTGCAACTCTAATGTATTTAGCTCGGTAATACTTCAATTACAATTCTATTATTATTTTTTAAATCACGTTGATTTTGCCTCAATTGCAGGAACAAACTTAATTTTCCAGTTCAGTGTAGTCTCTTTAAGTTATTGCCTTCAAGTTAATGTCTCCATTAAGATGGTCATTTAACATCTTGCCAAGGACAACAGTTGAAAATTAGCCTGCTGGCTAATACTGGCTCATTTACAGCAATGTGGATTAATGTGCACTGTCCTTTAAATAAATAAACAAATAAACAAACAAACAAACAAGATTGACATAGCCACAAGTTTCACTTCAACCCAGTGTCATTGACAATTGCCATAACAATAAATAATTATTAATATATTTGGATTGCAAGCATTGAAATGTCATTAACAAAAATGTATCCAATAACAGTAATTCAACAAAATAATTAGGTATGTAAAAGCTAGATACATATTTATTTGAAAAAGTATCTACAAAAAAAAACGTTATTTTATATAATGTATATATATATATATATATATATATGTTTATATGTAAGCACGTTATTGTAACTTGCACTTTATAAGTATCTTAGATGTACTTTTTATTTTTGTATGATGTTCAATTTGTACACATCTTAATTGTGTTGTTGGAGGGAGCCTGAAATACTAGATATCCATTGCCTGTACATTCAATGTAATTGTTGTGCATATGATCAAATGTACTTCAAAACCATAACCATTCCATATATAAAAACATTTAACTGAGGTATGACAGGTATGCACGTTTAAGTTTGAGTAATACAGTAAAATAAATATCTATATAAAGAAATAATGACGTGTCGCTGTCATACAGCTCTGCCTTGTTGATGGTGTAAAACTTGATCCACGTGCTCGCCTCTGTTTACACTGCTGCGTGATGACGTCACACGGAACCCCACCCCTCACGGCGAGCTGCCTGGCAACATGAGAGAGAGAGCAGGGAGGTCTGCAGCCGATAAGTGAACAACCTGCTCACTCTGGACTCAAAAACTACCAGAAACCACTCCCAGCCGTACAATGGAGGATGCAGAGACAGGTAATGCATTTGCTAAAATATCTCTCAGTAACTATGTTGTCATCTGAAAAAGGTTCCGGTAAACTTTTGTCTTATATGAAAGTTAGCAACTAGCTAACTTTGCGCAGTTACAGTTGGTGCGCTGAGAACATATGCTACTGTTCACTTCAAACTCAAATAAAAATGCATTTCCGTGACAATGTTTGGACTGAAGAAAATAAATATGTTGCATCAATAGAATGACAACGATAACCAGGGATATCACGGAAGTAGAATATTACACAGCATTTGTTTAGGTTACTTCAGTGAAATAAACGAGGAAGTTGTTATTTCCATTAAGGTAAATACTTTTTGGGCCTACTTTTATATACACTAAATGGTGAATTGGGCGTAGTTTTGATACAATCAAAAGTATTCGGTTGAAGATTGTTCTTAGAGTTGATAACACATGTAAGATCTTAAACTTTTACAAGTAGGTTACACCCATTTGAAAGCTTACTACATGTTCTCTAAATCTCCCCACCTTGGTTATACCTGTTCTAGTCAAGCCAAACTGTCTAGAATTTCGAACTTTTTTGAAAATAGCAATGATTGCATAAAGTTGTTTGAAAGTAGCATATTCCCGTCAGTCAATGTTGGAAGGCTGTGAGGCTTAGGGAGGTCAAACAGGCCTAAGCACACGTGTGGGACTGCCAAGCATTTTTAATAAAAAAATAAAAGATGAGGGGAGTGCATGATTCACAGATATGCTGTGACTGCATTGGAGCATTCCTGCGTCCTTTCCTCTCCAACACCTACTGGGACATTTCCAACCCTGCTAGGCAGCCATCTGCTCTGTTATACCTTGGCACAAAACTTAACCATCCTCCAGGTTTGTCTACTTGCATATGATACTCTGTAGTTCAAGAAATTAGACATTTGCAACAAATAGAGCTTTGGTAAGATTCAGTTAATTTGATCATAATCCCTCTTCTCCTGTACTTCCTTTGCTCATACCATGACCTTGTAGTTATTGTGGAAAGAGAGGAGTGACAGAGGTCTATTTGTTCATCCCAAGGGGGTGCCAGGTAAACAAGGCATAGCCTCGACCTCATTTCCCTTCAGCAGAAACATTCTTCAACCCCCTGGAGAAATGTAATTTCCTGATGTCTGCATGCTGTATTTCGTCTTTTTTTCTTTACCTCAAGGTGAAGAATATTGTAAGCACCAAGGAAAGGCTCAGCATATTTGAGATATTGACAGATGTTACCTTCTACTGGTTGATGATGAGGTGCTTTTTAATATCAGACTTAATCAGATGTGTTAGTCTCTGTGCGTGAGCTAGTGGTGACCATAGTAAGAGAAATACTTTGCATTACCATTTCCCTGAAGTAGCTCATAATGTTTTTTATTTTGTTTAGAGGTGTTTCCATCAATGTATTTTTTATAAAATAGTTTCTGAGTCAGTTCAGGATAAGGAGTACTTGTTTGGCTGCTTGTCTTGTGACCATGGTTCCTCTTTGTTAGTGTATGTTTCCTCTGCTCTTCCTATGCGTGCAAAGTTTCCCCTCAACACATTACATTATTTTCCACCGTGTGTGTGTGCATCTTTTCTTTTTGTTTCTCTTAAAGTTGGCATATGTGGCAGTTTTGGCTGTCTTTTATGTAGCAGAAGTACACTTTCCTCCTTCCTTTTTGTCATTGTATTCCTTTTCAATATAATAGGAACTGATTAAGTTCTGCTTTTTATAGTCCTACTCTCATGGCAACAGGAGGTGAAGTTCACTGTATTGTAACACATTTATGCAGGTCTCTATGGTAGCTGGCCTGGCAACATCTGCACCTGCGTCCTTGTTAATGTTTTTCCTTGAAACTGTCACCTGAGAGAAATTCAACCTGCTCAGTTACCAGTAAAAAAAAAGGCACTTGAATGCATTACAGATCTTGTTTTTGTATCTGTTTTTGTTAATTCAGTGTATTACAAACGGTGTTAAGGGGTTCTTCTCCCAAACATTTGTCAGTATTTCAAGTGGCACATAACAACAGCTGATAAGGACGAAAAGGAGCTAGGTTAGCCGGTTTAGGAAGAAAGGAGGTCAGTGCGGATACTGAGTTTGTCTGACTCGCTCTGTCATGTGTCTGCTCTCCTCTGACGGTGTCACCTCTTTCTTTTCCCTGCAATTGAATGGATTTTCTAGTCGTAACTTCAGATCATATAGGTCCTTTTTTTTGCTTGTGTTGGAATTTCTCTGCTTAAGTTGTAGCTGTATAGCACAGTTGAATTTGAGATTGTCTTAAGGAATAGCGTATTTGCTATGGGATATCTTTTCGAAAACGGCATTGATTTTTTTTGTCATTGGTGATGTCTGTATAATTACTGCATTTTTTCTTATACAGAATACCTTATACCTTTTTATATATCAACTATGTTAATTCTGAGGACTTTATGCCAGTGTTCTTGAAATTCCCGTCAAGTTTTTATTCCCTTAAACCTTCAACAGAATATCTCACGCTATACTATTTTCTAGCTTGTCAAGAAAGTCATGATCTGTAGGATCCTGGCTGTAGCATGTGTCTGGTATTTCCTGGCTCCTTGATAGAAGCATTTGCTCTTTTCTCAAATGAGATGTCCAAAAGGCAGACAGCCAGGCTTACCATTCTATCTTGTTTTTCAAAATTAGTAGTCTAATGAGATTGATCATGTGCAGTGGCCAACATTTTTGCCTTATTACATTTCAGTAAGGCACAACTGGATGCTTTCAATTGTGAGGAAGTCTGTGTCATGGATAATATTCCTCCAACCATGTCGGCCTACAGCTGATTTGTTTGTGTTAGCGATGCGTTTCGCTAGAAGAAAATCATATTTTCCTAGATATCTTGAGAATTTGGTCACAATACTGACCAAAAATCAAGTTAGTCAAATGGATGTTTATCCTCTGTCCTGTTTTTAGACATTTTTTAAACATTCTGAAAAGTGCTTTTGCATTTTTACATGATGGAACATGTTGAAACATCATAGCTGTAGTAATACAATAATGTTCATTCAATAAATACTGTTCATGTCAGCATTATAGATCAAAGACAACTCGGCAGCTATCTTTATTTTGTATTTGTTCCATTGTGAGCCATCATTGAACTAAAACATACTCAGCTCTTAGCCTAACCAGAAAACCTACAGTTTGTCAGCAGATCTTTACATTTCCTCTCAAAGATGAAAGGGAAATCCCCGTGTCTGTTTCAAAACTTTGATCTTTGAGATGATAGTTCTTTGAATCAAAGTTGAGCTGAATGTGGTGTATGATTAAAATGTTCCCTATGTTCTATGAGCTATTTATAACCGCCCTTTAAAACTTCAGCACTATGCCTAGCTTACTACTGAGAGAGTGATGAACATCACAGCTATTACAAGACAAGTTGAGGCAAAGATAACTCTTTATAACCAGTGGGCTACACATCATATTTGTGTTAATCATTTCATGCAATAAAATGCAGTCTTAAATAGTATTTGTTACACAACTTGAAGAGAAAACTATAGTAATGGTTCACTCATATAATGCAATTACATTCCTTATCATTTCACTTCTTTTTTATGGAGAATGTTTCATTAACCTGTGAGATTTGGCCGAGCAGAGGTCTCACCTGTCTGGTAGCTCTGGCAGCTCTGGCATCAGACGCAGTATCTTCCAACATGACACTGTAGAGAGAAACTTTGGCCCTCACTGTCAAATGGAGCACAGTGGGTGTAGATTATACATTAACAACTATATACCTTAACTAGGGATGTCCCGATCAGCTTTTTTTGCTCCCGATCCGATTCCGATCATTTGATTTTGACAATCTGCCGATACCGATTTTTCCCGATCCGATCTTTATGCAATGCATTAAGAGAAAAACAAGGTAACAGATAACGGCTGGTCATCCAACGCGATGAATTCAGCTATCTTGGCTGTTATTATTGTTGGCCTTTTCACTGTTCTGGGGCAGTTTCTCTGTCCTTTTTAAAAGTCTCTGAAAGTGTCGGTTGTTTCAGTGCCGTTACCTGAGTGGCCGCTGTGTACTCGTTGTGTTGTTGTTGGTGTTTGTTTCTCAGGTGGCATATTAGATTGGTCGTGTTGAACGTAGCTCTGTTCTTTCCACCACGCGGAACCTCCGCCTTGCAAACATTGCATCTGGCTGTTACACTGCCTTCGCTTTCAATTTTATAATACTTCCAAACTCCTGACATTTTCTCTGGCCCGACTCCCGAGTCACCAGCTGAACGTAGCCTCTTGTTAGCTTACTGCTACTATTAGACACTGCGCCCTGCCCACTCTGTTGCCAGATTTGAGAGAAATAAGCAACCAGGTCTATGAAAACAAGCCCAAAAGAAGCAACACATACATGATGTTGTGTAATTTTAAACCAAAACTAAGGCCTCAGGATGACTTTAAGACGTGAACATGGTCATTTTTGTTTTGTAACATTAAATAAAAATAATAAAAATATTTTATTAAAAAAAATATATATATATATATATATTCCCGATCTCCGATTTTTTTCTCCCGATTCCGATCTTTTGAAAATCACGTGATCGGCTCCGATCCCCGATCACGTGATCGGATCGGGACATCTCTAACCTTAACAGAAGATTTCATTTGTCATTTGGTCCCATTTTTAAAACATTTTTCCATTCAGTGAGGACTTGACATTTTTAAACAAGACCTAAAAATACAAATCTCTGTAATGTTGTCTGTAAACCACCACAGTTTCCAGGGCTTCTGTTCTGCTTTTACTTCTTAACTCGGTTGTTTTTAAGGGAATATTCTTTTAAACAAGGGAGTAGAAATCTCTAATCTAAATAAACCATAATTGGGTAGAATCTACCTTTTGTATTTCCTTTTTTTATTTTATTAAAAATCGTATTAATAGTTTTTGAAAGTGTCCTGAACATGATTAGGGGACTATGCACATGGTATAAGAATAACGCTTAACTAAGGAAAAACGTTTTTTCTTAAATATGTTGGATTTCAATATGTCAGATCTTGTTTTAAGAATGATCCTGA